TGCGGACAACTACTGATGTATAATGCTATGTAGTATAATAAATGATAAGACACTTGTTCTTTGCTTTGATTTATTTTATATAAGAAGGTGTAACATTAAAATATATTAAAGTGCACATAAACACACACAAAACTCAAGTACATATGGAGGGAGGGGTTCTTGCAGACCAATCACCGCGCTTGCGGTCTGCGTAGAATTGACGCGATGTTAGATTTTTGGAGAGGTATGGGTACGGCGTATGGGTGTGCATTAGGGATATGCCGGTATCAAATTTTCATGTTGCGATTATTTATGCATTTGGCTCTGTGATGAACATCATAGCTATTACACAAATCTGAATGGCTGTTTAAATCATTTAAACACCATTCAGAAACAGAAAGTAGTGCAGCTGCTTTGTTTACAGGGTTTCCGGGGTAACAGCTGCATTTCTGCAGTTTATCGCCATCTGCTGTCAGAGAGTGAAAGTGCGCTTTCAGCCAGAGCATCTCTCACATGTTCCACCATGTGCTTCAAGTCCGCCCGATAACAATATCGTGCATATTCATTACCGTGATATATCGCATCACCGAATACCGGCACAAGTCTAGTGTGCATCTATGCGTAAGCTACGGCGTAGGTTCGATGCAGAAGTATAAATCAGCCTTTAGTTCATCGCGATCTCACATTTATAATCAACGAAGCGTAGTTTTCATTCGCAAATGCGACTGAAATGGTCGCACTGTAGAGCCCTGTAGGGTTGGGTATCGTTTGGGTTTTTTCGATACTGGTGCCAAATCGATACTTTTAAAACTGTTCCGGTGCCTAAACCTAAACTTATTAAAAATAAATAAATAAAATATCCCCAAAAATTATGGATTGGCCATTAGCACTATAAACACGTCCGTTTCATCTATACTGGACGCCTGAGGGCGCCCTCGCACAAAAAATCCACATATCCAGTCACAGAAGTAGCAGAACTCATGACCCTCCATGAAATCCCTTATATGGACAAAGGCATCGTTATAATAGCTGTAACTGAGTAAAAAGAACATGTAAACATTTTGAATGATAAAACAAAGACAAACACTTGACTGTGACAATATAGTTTCTCTGTGTTATTCAAGCCATCGCTGATATTTCTGCCTCATTCTGTGACAAGAAGCCACATCAGATCACAGGAAGCATTTGACTGGTGTTATGGAGTAAAATGGTTATAATGTTCTCTTATGTTGGACAACAGGTTTAGAAATGTGAATACAAGGGAGGTTTAACGTTAGCTTTAGACATTGTAATTTAAGCATGTTTAGCTTAGTTAACGGAAGGCAAGTGTAATTACTGCATTCACGCGCTCCTCGGATGCTCTCATTTCCCGAGTTGTGCTTTGAAGTCGGAATGTGAAAACAACATGGACACTCGCGTTACTAAGATTTGTTGGATTTTATTATTAGAGCTTTCCGACTCGAGTTCACGTGCATTTTCTCAGTCGGGAAATTATTTTTCACGTGCGGTGCCGGTGATGATGCTTCTTACGTCCGTTTCGGAGAACCAGAGGACAAATATTTCAATCGATTGCTCAGGCATGGCACCGAAATCTGCGTTCTGATTCGGTTCTAGTACATACCGGTTATATAGGTACTGGTGCCATATTGGTACCCAACCCTATTCACATCAATTGTTAACTCAGCGGTAGAGTTCCACTCACGAGACACTGCACTTATTCGCAACGTCACACACTAAAAAGCCTGTCAAACAGCACCTAATTACTGGACTACGTTATCCTTCATGTCTGACTGCGCTAATACTGTCAAAAACACACAAGGTACTTTTCCACGACATTCTAATTTATTGAGATGCACCTGTATAAACACAACTGGTTATGTTTAAAGTGTAAGTAAACAGTTGAAAGAAAAACTGATGTGTGCATGTCTTAAAGTGACAGCAGACTAATAGTACTAAACATGCTGCTGCTTGTCATTAAAGGGATAGTTCACCCAAAAATTACAATTCTGTCAGTATTTGCTCACTCTCATGTTGTCGCAAACCTGTATTAATTTCTTTCTTGTGCTGAACACAAAAGAAGATATTTTAAAGAATGTGGGTAACCAAACAGTTGCTGGTCCCCACTGACTTTGATAGTAGGAAAAAAAAATACTATTGAAGTCACTGGAGACCAGCAACTGTTTGGTTACCCACATTCTTTAAAATAGCTTTTATGTTCAACAGAAGAAAAACCTCATTCAGGTTTAAAACAACCTGAGAGTGAGTACATGAAGACAGAATTTTCATTTTGGGTGAACTATTCCTTTAATGTTAATAAAACAACAAAACACAAAGAGAAAAATCACTCACTGCTCTTGACTGTAGAACTTTAATACAGTTGCTTTAATAAGAATCAATGAATAATTTATATAGTGAAGTATATATATATAGTGTTTAATTTATTATATTTGTTCATTCAATTTCTTGAATGCTACTGTTAAATACACCTAATGTACCTGGAAAATAAAGCACTATTTGTTTTATTTGTTGTATATTGTTTATTTGTAATGTGTATCTTTGTTCTTATTTTTTAATAACAATGATAAAATAATGACAAAGATTTTTATCTCCGTCCACTTTGGACTAAATGTCTGACATTCTTTTTTATTTTATATTTTGTTACCTTATAAGGCTTTGTTTTTAAAATAGGGAAATTAGGTTGGCTGTACTGCTCAGACAACCTGCAAAATAGTAAAACCAACATGACAAAGAATCATGATAAAATCGTGATTTTCCTGAAAAACAAAAAATCCTGATATGATATATTTGCCTTATCACCCACCCCTAGGTTCAACCCCATCTGGGAACAACAAGGCTTCAGAAAGACAAATAGGCCTCCATTTCATAAATTACAGCCAATGACTTATGGGACAGACAATATGTAATGTATCTGAACGTCATATAAAGGGCTAAACAGATCAAGGTACAGAAGTCAAATTTCCCTTTAAAAACATAACAAAAGAATCGCGTCATTAACTAAGGAGCAAAACATCAAGGATGTCTCTTTAAACCATAAACATCACGTACACATGCGGAACCTGTTACATTTGAGACCTGAGATCAAGCGAGTGCTGCGAAAAATATGCAACGTAACACATTATATAATGGAAAAGTACAGCGCGTTACACTAACCACGGGTTGAGCAGGTTAATGTTCTATTACACTTAAAGCCCTCTGCTGTCCACAACCAGGCAAGATACTGAGCTTAATGTAGATACACCCGCAGATTATACAGAAAACAAGGGTTAGGGCGAGCTTAAGGCCATAAAGAATCGTTGGCTGCGTTTCAAAAGCTGGCGTGATGCGTGCGAAAACAGCATTTTTGTACATTATTACGATCGTTTCGAGACGCAGCCTAATGTTGCGCGGCGCGAGGAGGTTCTAATAAAAATTCTCTCGCGACGTCAATCCGGTTCGGCGGGGCGAAGACACAACGAGGAGGGGAAAAACAACCAAATATTATGTAATGCAGCTAGCTATGGAAAACTCCCCGTGTCCAGGCGTAATTCAAAAGTTGTAACTGTTTACCACCCGATTGCATCATTTTTGCATAAACATGCGTATATCCAGTACTGAACACATACCGGAAATCTAATTTGTCCCTTCATTTTCTTTAGAAGATATTATAATAACATTTCCTTCCCACATATTTTTGGCCCCAATGTTGACTGTTATAATTAATCTGCATTACTGAAAATCCATGTGATGCATATATCTGGGACAACATCCAATAACTGATACAGTAATGCATACGATTCGTACCAGCACAAACGAAACCCTACTGATCTAAATGCAGCAGACATATACTGCGCACCCACCCCGCGCTCTCTCTCTCTTACACTGCACGCGTTTAACCTAACGTTACTCAATGTAAAGCGTGAAAGAACTCGTGTCGCGCTTGATTACCAACTACGCGCGCGCTCTCTCTCTCTCTCTCTCTCTCTCTCACACACACACACACACACACACACACACTGCACGCGTTTAACCTACTAAATGTAAAGCCCCCGAGTGAACGAACTTGCCTCATGCTTGATTACCAACTACGTGCTTTCGTAAAGTTGACACGTATAATTATGTCTGTGCTAATCGGGCTGATTTTGCAACCTTGATGGTCTGGCTTTCAACGCCGCCTACTTCACGGGTTTAACCAGAACAAACCGTGGAAAATAATTACGGAGGGCGAAAAGCGTCTGGTCGGAGCCGCATTTGTGGTGTTAACGTGCGCTATTTCACCGCGCGTTGATTTAAGTGCGTAAATGCGTTAAAAAGGTCTGAAGTTCCCCTCACGCTACCGAGTTTTAAACTAACAAAGAGAACAGGAGGAACCTACCACGTGATGAGGAGCCGATTCCGGGGGAAATGTACGTAATAAATCTCCACGCTTAAGAAATATAGTAGTAATAACTGACAGGTAGAAGCAATTATCCAGATGCAGATTCCGCTGTTGCACGTTCAGGTGGAAAAATCCCGGGCCTCTCGCGCGCTCCGGTGCTCGGTAACCCCCTCCTTTTCCTCCTCCCACTCCTCCGGGCTGCGTTTAGGGATCACGAAATGGGCGAAAGAAACGGGGGCAGTCGAGCTATAGGAGCCCAGACGGCTGTTTTTCAATCGCCCCCGACAAAAGCCGCGAAAAAACAGTGAAATGTATCCCTTTTCTGGTCGTTCCTTGAGCGCAATCCCTTCTCTCCTTCTCCGAAAGGTCTTTGTACTCGATTTCGGCTGAGAAAACCCCGGGTTTGTCCGTTTTTTATTGTTGTCGTTATAGGGGGAAGCGACGAGCTCGGAAAATGGCGGCTCGCTCCTCTCCCTCGTATTGCGAGTCTGACAAACAGAAAGAAGCGGAGCAGCGCAGTTGCGGGAGAGAGACGCCCTACGCTGACCGGCCGCTAGAGGCGCAATGCTTCCTGTCATAATGCGTCAGGACAATAGGGGGCGCCACAGTTACACGTACATTTCCTGTACCACCAAAAATCCTACTTAAATGGACGTATAATTAATTAGTCGAAGAGTCAAAAATATTAATTACAAAGATATAATTATAGATTAACAAAATAACATAGTATAACATATGGATGAAATGTACAGTACCTAGAGCCCTGGCCAGTGTTGCATGTTTCTAGAAAGAAGCTCCAAAATAAATGTTGTACCAGTAGAGGGAACTCAAGCTTCTCTAAAAATGACCGAAAGACGGGAAGTGTTCGAGAAAATCATACTAAATTAAGTGGAACATGACCGAAAAAAAAAAACACTAAAGAATTCAGATGGCATTGCTCTGAATTGCTATGCATTAAAATAAATGTTATCCTTGACCCCTGCATGCAAGCTCAACTTAAATGCAAGATTTGTATAGTAGTAGTTACAAGCAGGCAGAAAGACAAAAGAAAAAGGCAAAAAGTGAACAATTATATTTGGACAAGTAACAGAATACATTTCTAGCTTAAAACTCTTAAAACAGCTTTTATCACAATAGGTTAGAAATTATGAAACCTAGTTAAGCTTCCTGTTTCTTGAGGCCCTCATAAACAAAACGACAGCACCATCTACTGTTTAAAAGGGGAATACTCTTTTTTTTTTTTTTTTAACTACCTTTCTGCAGCACTTATCTAGCTGAACCTTTTTTCTACTTATTCTATACATACTGCAAGTACATCCCCTTAAAATATTACATGTGAATGTATTAAAACAGACGTAAATACACATATGACTTAAAAGAGTGTCAGACCTTAGAGATGACTGGTTTCAGTCTAATCTGGTTTACTGGAGCCTCCATTGTTAATCCAAATGTAATTTGCAAACTCCAAAACGAACAACACAGTGGTTCGACCTGCAGTCTGTAAAACAAATTAAAAAGACTGTTAGCATTTGCATTTATACAAAAAAAATGTTAAGTCTGAATTACGCAAATTAACTTTGGCCAGGTGTTTTACACTTTAATCACTCTTTTATATAACTTTATATTTTAAAGTTTAAATATCAAAACTAATTCGTTACATAAAACAGAGCTACTTATGTCTTTAATCTGTCACTATCAGATCTAGGGAAAACAATAGCAAGAGATATTAAACGTATATAAGCAATTAAGTTAATTCAACTTAATAAATCAATGAAATGTAAACAAATTAAGGGGGGGAAAAGACTAATAAAAAGTCAAATCCAAAACAAACAGCGCTTTAGGAACTGCGCTTCTAAAGGCAGATGATGGAGTTACGGACTGTGTTTCAAAAGCACGCAAGCTGCCTACCTAGACAGCATTTCTGTCGCCATACGCGCGTTCCAAATGCTGTCTATGTAGACAGCTCACTAGGTTTTGAAACACAACCACATGCAATCCATTCCAATGTAATAAAAACCGGTATAGAAAACAATTAATAGATATTATGAACAAGAATATTACATTTGCTATTAATTGGATAAGTTCTTTAATAGAGTCCAATATTAATTGCATGTACTCATAGGCCCGTTGACTGTAGGTTTAGCATGCTAACATCATCAGCTGATAGTCTCTGCTGTATTACAGCCTTTCTTTCATCCCCACTCACATCTTCAAGACGAATTCAGTGTAATTTTTTAGCGGACATTCTCACTTGTAACTACAGGAAACATGACAATTTTGCAGAAGCTCTAATTTTATCTGGAGGTTAATTCTGACAGACTGAGATATTTATTTTGTGCCCAAACAATTTTTGGCCTGTTGACTGCAATCTCCGGGATGAAATTACTTTGTCATAATGTCTACCACTCACTGAATGAGAGGAAAAACGAAACATTGTTTTCCTCTGTATCTTATTCAACATTTAACGTTGGAAACAGTATTTTGTCCATACGAACATAGCAAAAATAAGTATATTTTATGACAGAGTAGAGAATTCACGTCCACTTACCTGCACAGATCAACCAGACTTGAGCCGGAAGTACCGCCTCATTTCAACCTGTGATTGGTCAGTGGGCGGAAAGGCGGCCGCTGATTGGTTGGTTTATATGTTTTTAGCAAGAGATGGGCTTACGAGTGAAAGTAATAGACTGTAACTTTGCTAAAGAGTTGATTTTTGTTTATTTGATAGATGGTATTGTCTGTTAAAAACATATGTACCAAACACACTGTTACGTTTGAACGTACATCAGGCCTGTTATAAAGCTTAATATCACAGTATCTTTGTTAGCTTTTGTCATTCTCGCAAGATTTTATAAATGTCAACGCTCCTCTATGGAAATAAATTATAATTGTTAGACGTTCATAATCGCGTTACCAGCGCTGAAACCTTCTTTAATTGTCCACTGAAGCAAGATTTATTATATTTTACATTAGCATCAATAACTGTAGCCATCATGGCATTTTGGTGTAAACCATGGTAATTTTACGAACCTATTAACGTAGAAATATAGTGATAGTGTTTAAGAAGAAGAAAAAACAAGTGTGAAGAAACGTACTAGAACGTATTAGGATTCGTATTTTCCTTCAATGACCACATCAGAACTTTCAGTCAAAGTTGTTTATTCTATTTCCTTAAAATTTACAATAAGAAGCATTTAGCAGAGATCAAAAACACTTTATAATAATAAACATGTTCTGGTAAAATAAAATCCATTTGTGCACATTTTCTATGTTCATCAGTATTGACCTCAACAGCACCAACATTTCAGAAAATTGTCTCAAGAAGTCTGACCACTGGTCACTGTGCCATAAAATAGTGTTGTTAATTTGGACACTGGTCTGGTTTCCTAAACAGACTAATGTGTGTCAAAGAAACCACCCCACCCATACGCTTATAATTTAATCAACAATTCTCTAATCAGTGTCTTGCAGCTGGGCAAAAAGCATGGATTCAGATGTTCTGAAGGTAGATAAGAGCAAAACAGATGAGTGTGAGAATGGCAAATTGTTCCGATCAAGACAACTTTTTTTTTTTTAAACATAAGTGCTTCTTGAGCATCACTCCTACACACAAGTTTTAAAATCTGGTGAAAAAAAGATCTGCATCATCCAGAACTGATACTTTCTAGTTACTTTAAAAAACATTGTTCTTCTAAACAGATGGCAATCTGATAGAAGATATGCAGTTTACATCGAATCTCTTATGCCAAACACTTTTTTTTTTTTTTATGTGGGCATAAAGTGCTTTTTTTTCTCCTAGCTATTATGTTTCATGATTAAAAAAAGGGAGGGGAGAGGAATCAAAGGACTACCAACTCTTACACAGGTCTTTATTCAGAGTAAATGCTGATAAAATAACATAAAAGGCCTAAGCATTAAGACAGGAACATCCATGAATGTCTGTGGTTCTTTTTTTGAGTCTTAAACTGACAATTAACTTGTGGAGGAGACAGTGGAGTCATTGGCAAATCTGGGCAATTTGAGTTCAGGCAGAACTTGAATTCAGTCTGCGATAAAGGAAGCCTGCCAGTGACGATGAAGGATGAGACAGCACCTGAAGATCAGACCGATGAGAGACCTCTAAGGCATGATGACACGGGGGTGGAAAAAGGCAAGAACGAATGATAAAAATAAAACGAGAGACATGAGGAGGTACTGTTATTAGCAGCAGTTTGTTTTCCTTTTTTCTTCTTCCTCCTTTTTCAGAGCTGGAGTCTTCAAGTAGCACCCAAATTGGCATTATTTCAAAGTCCAGAGTGGTGTCAGGGGCTACAGAACCTCATCGCTCTCCGTGGTGTGGAGCTGTGTGTCATCAGCGTCCGTCATACTGCTCTCCTGTGACTCCTCCACCTCCGCTGCTGAGAGCAACAAACAACATTACATAGTGCACACAGCACCACTTAAATGGCTCACTTGGTAGTGGACTTACTTGAGTAGTAGGGATAATCATCAGGAGTGACAGGTTCGTCATCATCTGGGAGGTATCGCTTATCTATGGCCTCTTTGATCTGATTATTGGCACCTTTAGGGTCCAAGTCCATGGCCCAAGAGAAGTTCATTAGTGCCAGATGAGTCTGGCCAAGCTTCTTATAGACCTATACAGATGATGAATATATAATATATATATATATATTTATTAAAAGATATATTTTATATAAAATATATGCAAGTAAACAACTGAGTTGTATGAGTACCTTTCCTATTAAGAAGTAAACAAGGGACTCTTTGGGCACTATTTGTTTCAGCTCTTCAAGCTCCTGCAGAGCCGCCTGTAAAGAATAAATTAGTAATTTGACTTTCCCAAAGAGGGTTTTTGCAGGTTTTATGAAGATAATTTTAGGAAAATTCAATAAATGTAATGGAATACATCAATATGGTGTCTAAATGTAAATGTTTTGTATTTCCACTGCTTTGAAGTTTGAAAAAAACAACTTCGAACAGAACTCAGAAAAAAACGCTTATGGCTTGATTAACTCTGCTCTAAACCACCAGAATATGAAAATCTTTACCTTTACCTTCTGATCATACTGCAAAAAGTGATGTTCTTCCTCTGTATTTTTGTCTTGTTTTCCAGTACAAATGTCCAAACATTCTTAAATCAAGATATTTGTTCTTGTTTTAAGCATAAACGTGGAAAAAAAAAAACCAGACTTTATATCTTTAATTTGCATCTCAAGTAAATGTATCTAAATTGTATTTAGACATTTGTATTTGAAAACAAAACAAAAATACTGAGGAAGAGGTTAATTTTGTTGCTTTGCAAGCAACATTTAATGCTATGATTTTAAGACTTTCTGCTGCAATTTAAGACCATTTGAGGCCTTAATTTGTGTAAGCACGAGTTAAAGACTTTTTGCAGAAACCCTGAAAAAAATGCTGAAACTGATGTTAATGTCATGGTACAAGTTGGGGAGTACCTTGTACTTTTCATTGGCAAAGAGAATAGAGGCCCTATGGAATTTGCATAGCGGGTTCTTGGGGTCGATGCTAATGGCTCTGTTGAGGGTCTCCAGTGCATGGTCTGATTTCTTCAAAGCATGTTGAACCTGATATGGAGCACATGAGAAAGGAT